CCCCATTCACTAACTGAGCTATGCCGATCAGTTCATTTTGCGTATTTCTGATGTAACAACATTCACGCTGGAAACTCACTTTGTTTCCATGCTTTATCAGCTGACTGACAGACAATAAGTTTGTGGTAAGATCGGGAATACATAACACATCTTTAACAACAACATCATATTCCTTATTATTCACAACAGTCGTGATCTGGGTACTCCCTGAGCACAACACCGGCATGGTTGTTTTATTTGCAACTATAATCTCCTTTGTAGTAAGGTTATGTGACTTGTTATCTATTCTCTCCTGGCTGATCATCATGTGGCTACTTGCACCGGAGTCGATGTACCATTCATTTTTATCAAAACTGCCGTTAAGAAACACTGAACTAAAAGCATTTACTTGTTTTTTCTTCCTTTGCGGACATTGGTTTTTATAGTGACCAGTTTGTTTACATCCATAGCATTTTATCATTTTGACAGATGTCATTTCCCCAGTTTTGACAACTTTGTTTCCTTTATTACGCTGCCAACCTTTAGACGATAAAAATGCGCCTTCGGACTCACTGTTGCCAACATTATCACTCATATCCAACAGTTTTGTTTTAATGACGTCAGTTGATATAGCCAATCCCGAATGTTCGATCGCCATTATCATAGGCGAAAATTTGTCGGGTAAACCTGCCAACAATAGCGATCCGATCCATTCCTCATTTATATCGAACCCGGTACCTCTTAATTTTTGCGCCGTATCTATGAGCTGCGTAACGTATGCCGTCATTGACTCACTGTCTTCAAGGCGTATAGAAATCAGATTTCGTAATAAGCTAATCCTGCGTGTGAAACCCGAATCGTCGAAGAGTGTCTTGAGTTTCTTCCATACACCCAAAACTGACTTCTCATTCTTTATATGCACATATAAAGACGAATCTATTGTCATCACCAACTTAGCTTTTGCCTTTTGATCGTCAATTCCGCCATCATCGGCTTCTGGCTTGCTGATATCTACGCCTTCCAAAATCAAGAAATTCTCCGCCGCGAATGCCCACTCATCGTAATTTTCACGACCCTTGAGTTTGGGAACGTTAATTATGTAACTTCCAGCCATTTCACTTTAGATAAGTATAAATTTTATATTTTTAATGCGGGACTGGGCCCATAACCTATTAAAACTACACGTTGCTTTCCACAGACTAAATTTTATTTCTTAATAGAATACAACCATGAACAATTATACAGTTTTAAATATCATAATAGACTAATGTACACTAAATTATTATTTTGATACATATCTAACAATGAATCTAAGACTTGTGCTAAAAATCTATAAAAGAAAAAGTGACCGACTACTCCGCCGCATACCTAGTGTCATAATCCTGTGCACGCCGCTGGTAGTTAGTCTTTGTTAGATTTAGTGTTAGGAGGTTATTTGATAGCCAGCTCATAACTCTGGGTAATGGGTGTTCGGCTCGCTCCTTTACAATGTGCTAGTTAGAACCCCAGACAAGGATAGCGGGATCATCTGCATAGGTAAAGATTTTTGTATTGGGTAATAAGATGGTACAAAGATCATTGATATATAACTGAAACAGGTTAGGGTCCAAAACACTCCCCTGAGGCACACCGTAACTCACAGATTCCTCGTCCTAAAGTAGCTCTCAATTTTGACTCGTTGTCTTCTGTTTGTTAGGTAGTCTTAAAAAATATCATGGGACACATCTCGTACTCCCAGCTTTTGTAGTTTTTCCAGTAAAATAGGGACACACACCGTGTCAAATGCTTTCGAGAGATCTAGAAAGATGCATAAGCATCTGTTTTTTGCATCCAAATTGTCAACAACGGTATTGGTCAAATCTGTTACAGCATCCTCTGTGGACAAACCTAACCGAAAACCATATTGATTTGGTGCTAGTATACTAAATTTTTCGAGAAATATTTTTAGTGCTCGATAAGTATTTTCTCTAAGATCTTAGTAAGGCTAAAAGCACAGAAATAGGACGATAACTATTTAGGCAGTCTCTACCGCCATTTTTAAAGATAGGGTGTATAATAGATCTCTTAAAGACTTCAGGGAAGGTGCCGCTGTGTATGGTCAGGTTACAGATATGAGTTATTATAGGTGTCGGTACCTGGCAATTTTGTCGGAGGACTTGAGAGGGGATATTGTCCCATCCTATAGCGCAGTCAGGACGAAGTTATTGTATTACTGCTTCAATATCGGCGATTGTTACTTCTAGGATGACTAGAGAACGAGAGGGGCAGACTGAGTCGAATACATGCGGAAATGTAAGTTTTTCGGTAACGCAGACTTGCGAATTTCCTCAGCAAAATTTTTACCAATATTTTTAAAATAGGTGCAGACTTGGTTAGTAGACGTTAATGGGTTGTCGTATATTTTTGGTAGTTCTTTTGCGTTGTTTTTTGTTTTCTGGGTTGATGAAATGTCTCTTATAGCTTTCCACAAGGCCTTTGAATCATTACCAGCATTTAGGATTTGTTAAAAGCAAGCTTCAGCTAGCGAAGGAGGTTGTTACAAAAATTGCGATAGCACGTATATTAGGGTGTCCCGATTTTTTTTTATTCTTATTTTAGCTACTTAAGACCTCTCAAAAGTTGCGCTGTTAGACGTAGATTAGCGTAAAAATAATTCAAAAAATATTTAAAAATATCCTTAGGGCTCTACCAGCATTTTTATTTACTGAAAATTCGCAAAAACAACCTTGTAGTCAATGTCGTATATTCTATGTTTTATGAATCAATCCTGTTTTGTCTTGTAATTTTATCAATAAGAAAAGCCTCGGCTATGATTTGCAAGTATCGACAGGTTGTTTTAGCGATCAATCGGTTTGGATCGGACTTGCAAAATTCCTACAAAATTCATGTTTTGACTTGATTTTCGTACGTGCGCTACTTCTACAACAAGACAGTTCGTCTCATTTCTATTTCGATTTTACTCTTGTAAGGAGTTGTTCTATTCTTCTTTGATATATAGTAGACAAGATAGTAGATATTCAATATATAGTAGACAAGATAGTAGGCGCGGTGGGGCATGCATACTAATAAAAAAAGGGCTCGAATGGCGACACTTAGAAGAAATAGCAAAATTATCATTGCCTGGGATACTCGAATGCTGTGCCATCGAAATTATTAGGAGTAACATAATCATTGTATGCATATACAGAGTCCCAAAAAATAATGCTATAAACATATTTTTTAGTAAATTAGAATCACTTTTAAAAATTGTATGTACCAAACGTAACAAAAAAATTGTTTTGTCAGGCGATTTCAATATCGATATTTTAAAAAAAAATGGGGTTGTGCTGGATTTTGAATGTCTATTATTTAACTATGGTTTGAAATTGGAATTCAGACAAGTAACTAGATTGCAGAGTGGCACATGCATTGATAACTTTTGTCATAATTTTCGAAGAGGATGTAAATCACAAATTTTTGAGTTCTCATTATCTGATCATACTGCACAATTGATGGAATGTCCAATCCGGAAAGTAGAAACTAGATATTGGCGAATAACTCGGCGTGATTTAAACAAAGACAATTTAGATAAATTTAAATCATGTATAGGTAGTCTCTCTTTTGACGACATATATCACACAGACAATCCAAACGAAGCCTATGCGTCATTTATAGATACTTTTAAATTATTTTCTGATCTGTGCTTCCCACATAAAATATCCACAATTAAGTCAACAAAAAAACCTAAGTGGCTATCATGCGGCATTAAACTGTGTAGTAAAAATAAAAGAAAGCTCTTCTGGAAATACAGGCTAAATCCAAATAAAACAAATAAAATGAATTATGTAAAATATGCACAAAGATATAGGTACATTATTAGACAAACTCAACGTGCACAAAATATATACAATATAAAAACATCAAAAAATGTATCTAAAACTACTTGGAAGATAATAAATCAAACAAAACTAAACGTTCCAAGAGAGTCTATATCAAGAATAGTCACAGATCAGAATACAATAATTACCAATCCACAACATATTGCAAACACGTTTAATGACTATTTTATAGATAAAGTTAAACCAGTTCATACCAATGTCACAAATATAACAGAATCTATAGATAATAACATCAAATCAATGTTTATGCCGCCTTGCCTTCCAAAGGACGTCGACACAATAATAAAGAATCTTAAAAACACAAATAGTGTTGGGTATGATGGTATCCACACTAAAATAATAAAATCAGTTAGCCCAATCATTTCGAAGCCTATTAGATATATCATTAATGTAAGTATAGGTTCTGGAATATATCCAGATAAACTAAAAACGTCGGTGGTTAAACCTCTGTTCAAAAAAGGAAACAAAGAACATAAGGAGTGCTATAGACCAATCACACTTATTCCTATATTCTCAAAAGTGTTCGAGAAATATATTTCTAAGCAACTCTATTCCTTTCTTGAAAAATACAATCTCTTCGCAGTAGAACAAAAGGGGTTTAGACATAAAAAGAGCATAAACAAGGCTATCTACGAATTCTTAAATATAATTATATCTAAAGTAGATAAGAGAATACCAGTAAGCGCCATATTTTGTGACATGACGCAAGCCTTTGATTACGTAGATCATAAAACCCTACTGGAAAAGCTTGATAGATGTGGAGTACGTGGTAATGTCAATAACCTAATAAAATCTTACCTGACGAACAGAAAACAATATACAGAGCTCAGAAAAATTAACTTTTTAAACAAAAGAGAAGAAGTATACACGTCTCACTTACGAACAATTTATTACGGAGTGGGGCAAGGTAGTGTACTCGGGCCTTTACTGTTCATTCTATACATTAATGATCTACCCAAAGTAACTAACCATCCTGTTACTTTATTTGCGGATGACAGTACGGTAGTTATAGAATGTAACAATCGCGCTCGCAGTATACTCGTACATTTCACAGCAGTCACACGTAGATCCGAGCGTCATAGCGTCTGTTTACTCGTGATAATTTTTTGTGAACTACCCACATGTTGACTTTCAACCGTGATAATGGCTAGTTTTACGCGATCTTCAAGTATGACAAATTGTGATACGATAGTTTTACATGAAGATGAAGAAAATATGCAACAGGATGAGCAAGTGTTAAATGAAGCCCAAAAGGGTCCGGAAAAGAGGTTGAGGGAGAATAGTGAAGAAAATGACAGAGAAGAGGATTATGACGGCTTTGTTACGGTGACTAGAAAGTCAAAACGGCTATTACGCAGATATTCCGGTAACAGTAACCAGAGCGGGGAAGCTATAGAAAGAGGTGCCGAGAGTTTGGAGGGGTTCGCAATAAGGTTAACTTCTAAACATATTTTGCCTAAGCAATTTGGCATGGCAAAACTCTTAAAAACAGAAAATATTGATAACGTTTTGAAAATTAAATATAGGGGCCCATATAAAGTTAACATTAGTTTCAAGAGCAAAGAAGATGCGGAGAAACTCTTAAAATGTCAGAAATTTAAAGAATTGGAGTATGTGTGTCAAAGTATCGACGAGGTAAACCTATCGTACGGTGTTGTTAAAGATGTCGATTTGGATGTGGAAGAACAGGAAATACTTCAGCAATTTAGTTGTGATCATGAAATTGTTAGTATGAGGAGACTCAAACGTCTAAATTTTGACGGAACGTGGATAGACAGTACTGTTCTCCGATTAGCCTTCAAAAGTTCCACTTTGCCCTCGTATATAAATGGATACGGGTGCCGGTTCAAGGTGGAGCCCTGTGTCTTTCCTGTCACGCAATGTTCAGGATGTTGGAAGTACGGGCATTTTAAAAAGATGTGCCCAACTAAGAGAATCAAATGTCCCAAATGCGCCCAGGATCATGAGAATTGTACAGTTGTCAAATTTGTATGTATCAATTGTAAGGGAGCACATATGGCACTTGATAAAAAGTGTCCAGTATTCGTAAAAGAAAAGAAAATTAAAAAGTTAATGAGTGAGAATAATTGTACCTATAAAAAGGCCTTATCTTTGTATCAGGAAAAAAATATCCAAATGAGAATTACTAACTCTTTACCAATTCGTTCGGAAGCAGCTATTTTATCACATAGAGATACGCTTTTAAAAGAAAATAATAGAACATCAAATGAGATAAGTTTCGAAGAATTATGCGAAAACAAAGACGAACAAAGGAGTGAAATAAATAAAAAGCAGAGAAAATCGCGAAGCAGGAGTAGGAGACATTCGAAGAATACTGTGCCTAACACTGATTGGGATGAGGAGGTAGTAGTACCACCAAATAAGGAGACGAATACATCTAAAATTAATAGTGTATTCTCTAGAATGAAAGCCATAGTTGTGAAAATTAAAGACGTAATATATTCGAAGAGAACATTTGAAGAAAAGGTTTGTTTATGTATGCAATATATTATTAAGGATGTCACATCAATTTTATGTGAAACATTTATGAGTGAGAGTATATTTAATTTACTATTTGAAAACATACAAAATGGCTAGTGATTGTGACTTGAATTTAAATATATTACAATGAAATGCTCAGAGTCTAAGGCCTAAATTGGCTAATTTTGAAATAATTCTCAATAGGGAAAAAATACATGTAGCAGTAATAAGTGAGACATGGCTAGAACCAGAATCTCATATTAGATTGTCGGGATACAATATTTATCGGGAGGATAGAGCAGATGGTTATGGAGGTGTGGCAATAATATGTCATAAATCTTTAAAGACTATCAGAGCTGCATTCCACATTAACAATCCTCGCATTCAGGTTATTTATATAAAAATATTAAATTGTAAACAATTGTGTAATATTCTATCTATTTACTGTACATCGAATGTTAATACACGCCAAATAGACTGGGACAATTTATTTTCGCAGTTTTCTGGAAAAACGTTAATAGCAGGTGACTTTAACGGTCACCACAGTAACTGGTCGAGTAGGTCCGATATGCGAGGTATTCAGTTATTGGATAGTTCTCTGGATAATGGCTACATCGCACTTAATAATGGTGAGCATACCAGAATTAAGTTGGTAAATGGTGTTCTTCAAAAAACATCTCCGGATATTTCATTTAGTTCAGTAGATATTGCTGTGAATTTTGAGTGGTGTGTTTCTAATGAAAGCCTAGGTAGCGATCATTTAATGATTAAATTGAATTTTAAATATAAGGATTTCTTAAAGTTCAATGTTGGGAGGAATTTTAAATTAGCTAGGTGGTCTGAATATAGGGCCACAATTTCTAATTCATTACTTCAAAATGACACATCTTTTGATAACGTTCAAGTTATGTATGACTATTTTATGAACATCGTTAACGAATCTGTGGAACAAAATATCCCTTTAAAAAAAAATGTGTAGTAACCCTAGTCGCAAATTTGTCCCTAAAACTTACTGGACTCCGGAATTGTCGAAGATAATAGCCCAACGTCGAATGGCTCTTAAACGATTCCGACGCAATCCTACTCCACACAATCTTTCCCTATTAAATTTAAAGATATCAGAATCTCAACGCTTGATTAGACAAGCCAAGTCTCAAAGCTTTCATGCCTTTTGTAATAGTATAGATGAATCTACGACTTTGTCAGATATGTGGCTTAAAATGAGGTGGATAAAGGGATTGAGGCAAAGTAAATTTTATACTTCTGACCGGGCTAAAGAAGAACTTTTGGCATCTCTGACTCCCGATTACGTAATTGACCCCCCAAGGATATTTCTCGTAACTAATTCTAAATTAGACGCTAATTTTGATCTTCATGAAATGGAGAACTGTTTAAAACGTAGAGATACTTCCCCTGGACAGGACGGTATTTACTATTCGATGATATATAATCTTCCTGATATAGGAAAAGTATTTCTACTTCAATTATATAATTTAATATTTAGATCTGCGTGTATCCCTAGTCAATGGAGACAGATTAAAATTCTACCAATACCGAAACAGAATAATAGTTCGAATTCCAAACTGCGACCTATAGCCTTGATTTCTTGTTTGTGTAAGACATTTCATGTGATGCTCGCTAAACGCTTAGAATGGTTTATCGAACATAATAAAATATTATCGCCAAATACAATAGGATTTCGGCGGGGCCAATCATGTCTGGACTGCTTGGCTCGTCTAGTTACGAGTATTCAGATTGGGTTTTCGCAAAATGTTCCTACCGTCGCATGCTTTTTGGATATAGAGGGAGCCTATAACAATGTTAATATTAACAAACTGATAAATATTTTGGGTGACCTAAATGTTGGAACTAGGATTTGTGGGTATTTATGGGAATTCTTGAGAGAAAGGCATCTTCAAATAGAGTGTGATGAGACAGATGACGTGTTGGTTAGGCAGACGAGCAGGGGAATTCCTCAAGGAGACCCTTTGTCGCCTTTACTTTTTAACATTGCTACCATTGGGATATGTCAAAATATTAATCAAGTATTTATTTGTCAATATGCGGATGATTTTGTTCTGTTTGCTAAACATAACAAAATTCAACAAACTGTGATAAGCATACAAGACGCTTTAAATGTATTTGTTAATTTAGTAGAACAGCTTGGTTTAGAGGTATCAACAACAAAGTCTAGATATTGTATTTTTAGTAGAGCTCGCAGATATGAGAGCATTCAAATTTATATTGAAGATACCCTATTAGCTCCGGTTAGTAGTTATAGATATTTGGGGTTTTGGCTTGACAGGCCTCTTAGATGGACGAAACATATAAATGAGATGTGTGAGAGAGCACTTAAGTTTTTGAGTCCTTTAAGAGTTCTAGCAGGAGGTGGTTGGGGGGTACACCCGTTGCACCTTCGCAGAATGTACTTCGCCCTTATCCGCAGTCGACTGGATTATGGTAGTTATTTGTACGATAATGCTGCTAACTGTCATACGCTAAAGATAGACAGGCTACAAAATCAAGCCCTTAGAGTTGTGGGTGGATTTATTAAGTCAACCCCAATTCATACTATGGAAAGCGAAATGGGTATTCCGCCAATGAGAATAAGGAGGCTGTATTTATCGTACAAATATTGTTTAAAAATTTATTCTTATTCATATAATATTAATTGTCAACTTGTATTAGAACTTAAAAGACTATTAGGTAAAAGATTTTGGGCGCAAAAAAAGAAACCATTGTTGGCTATATGTTTTGATGAGGTGCAACACAACGAAATTTCTGCATCTCATCCTCTTGAAATGTATAAACTGGATACCTGGATGTCTAATATCAATATTAAAAATGTTGTTAATAGTAAGTTGGATTCGGTGGAGGGATCAAAGTCTCAGTACTTGGGTTATATTTTACATCAGGAAGTTTTACAGGAATTGTACGATAAGTATCATGAGCATTATGTAATTTATACCGATGGATCTAAAACAACTAGAGGACTGGGTAGTGCATATTTTGATCCTAATACTAGGTCTAACAACTTATTCAAAATTAATAATGAATTTATATCTATTATGACTGCTGAATTATATGCGGTGTTGCGGGCTTTATGCTATGGATCTGATCTGGGAGTCCGTAAACTAGCAATTTTTACAGATAGTCAAAGTGCTTTGCTTCATATTACTCGGTGTGTTACTGGTAGCAAAGGCACATCAATAGCATACCAAATATTGGATCGGATAGCCGGAGCTAATAGTAAGGGTGTCACTGTGTCACTTCAGTGGGTTCCATCTCACATTGGGCTATCGGGAAATGAAGAGGCTGACAGATTGGCGAAGAGGGCTATATTAGAAGGTGAAGAAGTAAACGTTTTACCAGTTTGGTCCGAAATTTTTATAAAATATAAAATGAAATCCTATATGACATTTAAAGAATATTTTGATGAACGTTCAAAAGTCAAGGGTATTTGGTATAAAAGTATTCAATGTGAGCCTCTTCATATCCCATGGTTCACGGATACTAGGCTTAATAGGAAACAAATTGTTACTGCATGTAGGTTACGGACTGGTCACATTCCTTGTAGAAGTTTCGGATTTTTAATGAAAAAGATTGAGTCACCCAATTGTGACGTATGTGGAAAACGTGATGATATTTATCACATACTTATGGAATGTGTACGGTATAACGCTAAAAGAACCCAATTTTTAAATAAATTTAAATTAACTCTGAACAATGTTGGAACATTTCAAAGCGTTTTAGCTGATCCAAATTCGGAGGCAGCTAAAATGCTTTATAATTTAGTTTTAAGTAGTAATAATAATAATATGTAGTAGCTAGCTTAGAATAAGGTATTATGGGATTGACATCGTCATTTTTATGTACAAAAATCCCTTGTATAAAATAAAGAAATAAAAAAAAAAAAAAAAAACAATCGCGCTTACTATGAAACGGACATTAATAATACGCTCTATAACATTATAAAATGGATGGATAAAAATAATTTAAAAATTAATTTAGGCAAAACAAATTTAATACAATTTTCACAAAGACATAATATAATTAAAGATATGAATATAACATATAATAATATTAAAATAAATGAAATTGACGCTACTAAATTCCTAGGACTGAATATTGATAATAGGCTTAATTGGAAAATACATACTGAAGAGTTATGCAAAAAAATCAGCAGTACAGCCTATGCACTTTTTAAGCTTGCACCTCTGCTCAATGAGGAAGGTATACTTAAAGCATATCACGGAATAACCGCCTCCTATCTTAGATATGGCATACTATTCTGGGGAAACTCGACAAATAAAGAAATTGTTTTCAAATCTCAAAAGCAGTGCATTAGAGCAATGTTCAAATTAAAATCTACAGATAGTTGTGTACCATATTTTAAAAAGTATAAAATTATGACATTGCCATCTTTATACATTTATGAAACAGCAGTTTTCGTAAAGTCGAACCTGGAACTGTTCGAAACATTAGCTGATACGGTTACTCGCAATAGAAGAACCCACACCAGTAATAGGATGCGAATAAGAAAAGCAAATACAAAATTAATGCGTAAAAGTGTATTCTGTATGGCACCTGTCATCTATAATAAGATACCCGATCACATCAGAAATCTAGACATAATCCCATTTAAAAAACATCTACAAGAATGCCTATCTGAAAAATGTTATTATGATATAAGAGAATTTTTAGATGGTAAATGGGGATAATTAAATAGATAGATAGATAGATAGATAGATAACTCTTTATTGTACAAAAAACATAATAAAAAAGAAGAAATCAGTTTGTATACATTGTGTGTCTCATATCTAAAGTTAAATTATTGTAACATGGAGAGTAAAGTATTAAAATTTGTACAATTGGCGGCCTTATCGCGTTTTGCGATCTCTTCCAGGCAACCACTGGATGGAGAAGGAGAATAGGAGTGAGATAGGGGGTTGCAGTTTGTAGATCGGAGTTTTTGTAAATTAAGACTATTTGATTATACAAACTAATTCAAACATATACACTAAACACATACACACATCACTACACAATAAATTCATTACACAAAATATACATTTAACAGAGACTATAGAAGTAACAGACAGATAAATATAAGATTTCTGACTGAGTGAGGGGACCCTCGCTTAGCAGCTTCGGAAATGCTCCTTCAGCAACCTTTTGAAACAAGGCAGTGTTTGTGCTCGTCTGATGGGCAGTGGCAATGCATTCCATAAGCGTATAGACTGCACTGTAAATGACTTGTCCATAAAAGTCGAGGTGTGCTTCGGCATTTCCAAAGTCAAGCTCTCTGACGATCTTAAGGCCTTTACATTGCTCAAATCGTAAAAAACGCCCAGGTTTAAAAAAAAATTTAGCCGAATCCTTTGGTTTATTTGCTACAAAAAAAATATGTTTTGGAGCTAAGCTCGTCACAATTTATTTGTATTGTTTAAATTTTTTATATATTTGACCATTATTACAAAAGAAAATCAAATACAAAGGCTGTTTTAAATCTATTTGGTATTATTTCTCAAGAACGGCTCAACAGTTTAAGATTAAATTTATATTACAATATTTGTTAAGTTATACTAAAAAAATGTATTGTTTTTATTGTATTTTTGTTAAATATATTTCTTAAAATATAGTAAAACATAATTCGGCCCCTTTTCGCCCCTCGAAGCTCCCCCGCTATGGCCAGTTACGGATATTCGCCAGTGTCGGTTCGACTCTTGCGACAGGTGGACTGCGCGCGCGTTATTTTCGGAAAAAAATATTAAAAAGTTCGCAATATTTAAAATTTATAAAATCAGATTTGTTGTAAATAAAACGTACATTAATAATAGTTGATAAAAAATTAGGAATTAAGTTGATTTATGTAAATAAAATTGTTTTTAGTTTTAGTATTGAATATAATCGTATCATAGAATAGAAAGCTTGACAATGCCGAAACACAAAAGCAAGTCAAAAGTGAAGCGTGGCCAAGCTCTTCAAAATTATTGGTAATTTTTTTTTTTCTTTGGCGTAAATAAATACATTTTTTATTACATTACATACATATTACATACATTACAGGGTATGGCAGCGTTCCTAAAACTGTCGTGTTCACTTCACAAAAAATATAAAGTATTATGAACATGACCATTTTTGGCTGGTCTGATGCTACAGTTCTGCACTCCGAAGGTGGGTACGGGATCTTAGTGACGGAACCACGTAGAACCATCGTGTTTGTACTCATTTGAAAGGGCTCCCAGTCATCTAGCTGTCCGTGATGATTTCATTTACCTGATTCTGCACTCCGAAGTAGTCCGAAGGTGGGTACGGGATCTCAGTGACGGAACCTCGTAGAACCATCGTGTTTGTACTCATTTGAAAGGGCTCGCAGTTATTTGGCTGTCCGTGATGATTTCACTTACCTGATGCTGCACTCCGAAGTAGTTCGAATGTGGGTATGGGATCTCAGTGACGGAACCTCGTAGAACCATCGTGTTTGTACTCATTTGAAAGGGCTCGCAGTTATTTGGCTGTCCGTGATGATTTCAATTACCTCGTCGTAAAAAACGCCCAGGTTTAAAAAAAAATTTAGCCGAATCCTTTGGTTTATTTGCTACAAAAAAAATATGTTTTGGAGCTAAGCTCGTCACAATTTATTTGTATTGTTTAAATTTTTTATATATTTGACCATTATTACAAAAGAAAATCAAATACAAAGGCTGTTTTAAATCTATTTGGTATTATTTCTCAAGAACGGCTCAACAGTTTAAGATTAAATTTATACTACAATATTTGTTAAGTTATACTAAAAAAATGTATTGTTTTTATTGTATTTTTGTTAAATATATTTCTTAAAATATAGTAAAACATAATTCGGCCCCTTTTCGCCCCTCGAAGCTCCCCCGATATGGCCAGTTACGGATATTCGCCAGTGTCGGTTCGACTCTTGCGACAGGTGGACTGCGCGCGCGTTATTTTCGGAAAAAAATATTAAAAAGTTCGCAATATTTAAAATTTATAAAATCAGATTTGTTGTAAATAAAACGTACATTAATAATAGTTGATAAAAAATTAGGAATTAAGTTGATTTATGTAAATAAAATTGTTTTTAGTTTTAGTATTGAATATAATCGTATCATAGAATAGAAAGCTTGACAATGCCGAAACACAAAAGCAAGTCAAAAGTGAAGCGTGGCCAAGCTCTTCAAAATTATTGGTAATTTTTTTTTTTCTTTGGCGTAAATAAATACATTTATACAGGGTATGGCAGCGTTCCTAAAACTGTCGTGTTCACTTCACAAAAAATATAAAGTATTATGAACATGACCATTTTTGGCTGGTCTGATGCTACAGTTCTGCACTCCGAAGGTGGGTACGGGATCTTAGTGACGGAACCACGTAGAACCATCGTGTTTGTACTCATTTGAAAGGGCTCCCAGTCATCTAGCTGTCCGTGATGATTTCATTTACCTGATTCTGCACTCCGAAGTAGTCCGAAGGTGGGTACGGGATCTCAGTGACGGAACCTCGTAGAACCATCGTGTTTGTACTCATTTGAAAGGGCTCGCAGTTATTTGGCTGTCCGTGATGATTTCAATTACCTGATGCTGCACTCCGAAGTAGTTCGAATGTGGGTATGGGATCTCAGTGACGGAACCACGTAGAACCATCGTGTTTGTACTCATTTGAAAGGGCTCGCAGTCATCTAGCTGTCCGTGATGATTTCATTTACCTGATTCTGCACTCCGAAGTAGTCCGAAGGTGGGTACGGGATCTCAGTGACGGAACCTCGTAGAACCATCGTGTTTGTACTCATTTGAAAGGGCTCGCAGTTATTTGGCTGTCCGTGATGATTTCACTTACCTGATGCTGCACTCCGAAGTAGTTCGAATGTGGGTATGGGATCTCAGTGACGGAACCACGTAGAACCATCGTGTTTGTACTCATTTCAAAGGGCTCGTAGTTATCTAGCTGTCCGTGATGATTTCACTTAACTTTTCTGAAAATGCTTTTATTGTACTCTTTTGTTGAGAGTGACTGTTGCGATAATATTTCTAATTTAACTTCATGTTTTTAGGCATTTGAGAAATCAGCGGAAATCCCATTCAGAAAATCTGGACAAAGATCCGTCAACTGAACCATTACATTCATCTACGACTATTGAAGAAACTCACGATCCGTTTGGTATGGCAGTTGAAGAGGAGACTTCGTCGCCGGATATTACGGTAGCTACTTCTTACAATTAAGAGTGCAAGTGTTTTTTTAATGTTGTTAAATTGAACTTTGACTCTGGGTCCCCATTGCGCATTGATAACCATTCGTTTTTGGTAATTAAAAACGTATTGAGGAAACCGACAAGTCTAAGAACCCATAAAATCCTATAGGGTTAGTAAAAAATAAGCAATATAATATTATACACGGCAGTTTTTGTACATGAATTTAGCAATATATTACATGATAATTATTTTGTTCTCAGCTTCCACAAGATCACATCTTACCGGAATTAACTATTGAAAAGAATCAACCAGAGACAGAAAAAAGAAATATATTTGGCAGACGAATTGTTGATATACAATACTTTTTTTCAAAATTGCAAGAAATCAGCAATCATAGCCCCTATAACTGTGGAGTACAAAGTTTAAAAATTGTTGGAGAGAAACGAGTTGGATCGTCATCCAAGTTGACTCTAGAGTGTTTAATGTGTAAAGGAAAGTTTTTATTAAATAATGTCCTAGGTGATCTGGAAATAAATACAGAAACAGTCGCGGGTTTGTCGATGTGTAAAGAAAAGTATATTCTAAATGTCTCCGGTGATCTGGACATAAATACAGCTGCGGTTGCTGGTGCAGTTTCTGTTGGCATAGGCTACTCACAATTAGAGGAATTACTATCAGCGATCGATTTACCTATGATGACTGAGCCTCTGTACCAAAAACAGCACGAGTTTGTTTCTAACGCCTGGGAAAAAGCACTTGGTCAATCCATGCAAGAAGCTGCAGAATAAGAAAAAAGAATTTCTTTAGAAAAAGGTCGTGTGACCACTGATGGCATTCCTATTATAGATGTTATTGTTGATGGATGCTGGAGTAAGCGGTCCTATAAAAAGAATTACTCAGCACTTTCAGGAGCTGCTGCCATAATCGGAAGAGAAACGGAAAAAATTTTGTTTCTCGGTGTTAAAAATAAGTACTGCAGCATATGTGCACAAGATTGTAACAAAAATCAAACTCCAAGAGCTCATCAGTGTTACAAAAATTTCACGGGTGCATCTACTGCCATGGAATCTGCCCTGATAGTAGAAGGTTTTAAATCATCCGTTGAAATGTACGGTTTGATTTATGGACGTCTAATATTATCTGACGGAGATTCTAGCACGTACTCTAAAATATTAGAAGCAAGACCTTACCCTCAATTTACAGTCGAAAAAGTAGAGTGCAGAAATCACCTTTTAAGAAACTTGTGCAACAAACTGGAAAACCTGATCACAGATACAAAATATCCCATTCATCTTAGAAAATTAATTACAAAAAAACGCATAATGACCATTAGGTCCACAATTAGAAAATGCATCAAAAAATATCATAATTCTACAGAGACTTTAGATTTTTGCACTCACAAACTTTTTGAGGACATTCAAACTGTACATTTACATGCCTTCGGGAACCACACCAACTGTAAAAACCATTTCTGTAATCTTCGTCAAACTGAAACTGAATCAGTAACGTCGGATTTTTTCACAAGTTCTTTATGGCAGAGAATATGTTTTATAATAAATAGTATTGCTGGCCATTCAAGAAGTCTGGTTCATAATGTTGATAGTAACATCGTAGAATGTTTTCACAGCGTTGTGGCCAAGTTAGTTGGGGGTAAAAGAGTAAATTACTCTCTGCGACGTGGCTATCAAACTAGGTGTTCGGCTTCTGCGATTACGTTCAATACTAAAAGAAAACCTACTACAATATTGTACAAAACAATTGTTGGCAAAAGCCCTAAAGGCCGAATGAGCACTTTCGATAATAAGTATCGGAAACTCAGAGGCTTGAAGAAACGCGCCAATTATAAAAAGCCACAGAAGACGTGTGATACTATAATTCAAAATAAAGATTATGGTGAACAAAGCTCTAAGCCGGATGTGAGTGATGATGTTCTTAATTTAATGAAGGAAACTTTTCTATCCACTTTAAAAAAAAGTGTTAAATCCCTGATCTACGGGTAAATAATTTAAAGGCAATGGACTGTAAATTTGTACATATATTAATAAAAACAATTAAAGTGTGGTGCGCGTGCGATGCTTGCGGACTTCAGAGGTAATGCCCTCGGGAACAGCTGACGGTTGGCACCTCCGCGCCGTGCCCCGCGGCTCCCCCGTAGTTGCCTTGCACAGCTGCCTTCTCCGAAGACAGCCGAGAGTAGCCGAAACTCGCGGACGGCGCACGAACATCCTCCCGGGCGTTGAAGCATTCAAACTAAACAGGCAGAGGACAAATATTATTGAAGGCTCGTAATAATATGCCTTTCTTGGTCTTGAGTTGAACCACGCGAGAAGCTCCGTCGCTGCCAGGAAACACCTTGATGACCCGTCCCAAAGGCCACACTAACGGTGGTTGTCCTCTCTCCTTTATTAACACCAGGGTTCCCACGGTCAGTTGCCCTGAAGAAGTTGTCCACTTTGTTTTTTGCTGAAGCAAGGATACATATTCCATTTGAAACCGTTTCCAAAAATGTTGTTTGATATGTTCCAATTTTTGGAATCGCTCCAGCCGCCCAATGTTGATATCAGTTACCTGTGGATGGGGCACAGATGTAAGTGATCGTCCAATAAGGAAATGAGAAGGAGTAAGGGCACTAAAATCTAAGGGATCGGAGGAAAGAGGTGTCAATGGACGAGAATTTAAAACTGCCTCTATTTGATTCAAACAAGTGACCAGCTCCTCGTATGTAAAGTGAGATAACTGTAAGAGCCTCTTCAAATGGTGTTTAGCCGAACGCACGGCAGCCTCGGCAATGCCGTTAAAATGCGGTGTGTTCGGCGGAACAAATTTAAATTCAATGCCGTGCTTAGCAACTTCCGAGTCTAAATCAGAGTCTTGCAGGAATTCATTCAATTCGTTGCACGTACCAACAAAATTTGTACCGTTATCGGATAAGATGCTCTCGGGTTTGCCGCGCCGAGAAATGAAGCGTTTTAATGCAGCCATATAACCTTCCTTACTCAGGTCTGTAACGAGCTCTATGTGTACAGCTTTAACTGCTAGGCAAACAAAAATGCACAAATAAGACTTGGTAAGCCTACATCCCCGACCCTTGCGATCAGCGATCAGTACTGGCCCGGTATAGTCAACACTGCATCTAAAAAAGGGGAATTCGGGAATTGCATTTGGGAATTGCAAAACTGTGTGCTTGATGTGGTCTGTCTATTTATTCCTGTAACCGTGGAGCTCGTGCTCTGTCTAGGCAATCCCAGCCTATCACATAGCGTCTGAGTTATTACGTAAGTTGGCTGTACTACCATTATCGAGCAGGATCCTGGCGTTGACCTTGTTTCCCCGGCCATCCCTCACCTTGACCTGCGCTGTGGACAGCAAAATACACGAAGCGGTAGTATTGTGTGTAAAGGGATCACAGGATAAAGCTACATTTGGGGTGGGTGGGCATTTATTGAGACTGCCTCTTGATACGTCAGTACTCAATGCAACACTGCTTGGCATGGGGTCAACAACATCAGTAGGTTTATCTACATGTAAAAGCGTGTTATGATTCCCTTTACAGTATTTGCAGCCCGCTAATCTACATCGTTTTGTGGTGTGGCCAAAGCGTAAGCAATTTAAACACACTTTCAATTCTCTAGCCTTTGCACTACGCATTTCTACAGGCAAGCTACGAAATACTTCACACATATACAACAAATGATCCTCACCGCACACAGGACATGACCTAAGTCTATTTGGTGGCCTCTGTTCAACAACAAAGGCGTTAGGATGGGGATCTACGGACAAACTACCATTAATCGCTTTATTTTCTAACGTCTCCAATAAGTCAGCCTTTTTGCTAAGGAAGGAAACAAACTGTGATAAGGTTGTTTTATTGGTTACATCGGATTTCTGTATCATATTACGATGCTCCTCCCAATCTCTACTGGTGACAGAATCAAGCTTATTGGACATCATGTAAATGACAAGAGTGTCCCAGTATTCAGTAGGCTCATCCAATGTTTTAAGAGCTCGAATATTTTTATTAATCACATCTACTAAGCGACGCAAGGCACTGCATGACTCTTGGGCTATGCACTGAACATCAAACAATGCCTTGACGTGATTATCCACTAAAAGCCGACCATTGTTAAACCGATCACACAGTAAACTCCACGCCAAGTCATAGTGAGCAGCTTTAAGATCAATATTTTTAATTGCTTCTAACGCATCACCTGTCAATGATGCACGAAGATAGTGGAATTTACTTATGTCATCAATAGCACTACTGTTGTGGATTAAAGACATAAATGTATCGCGATACTCAAGCCAGTACTGATAACCACCATTAAAACTAGGCAAGTTGATTTTAGGTAAGCGTATAAAATTTGTTGTGCATAATTCACCTGACCTGTGTTTGCCTGATGAGCTCGCTACAGACCCGTCATCACCGGCTCTGGCCAGCAAACGACGCGCTTGCGCTATAAGCTCATAATAACGCTCCTCAAATTTGGTGCGCTCCTCATACGCTCCGTCTGGCTTGTCGGATTGCACTTCAATTTGGATCTGTAAGTCGTCAAAAACATCGTATAAGCTTTCAAATTTATTAAGTCGCCCCTGCAAATCAATGCGCTGTAAATCGGAGAGGACTTCACAGCTAAGTATAACATTAATGTAGTTAGCAAAATTTGTAAGCTTGGCCTTCATTCCACTTCGCTTTTTTATCAGTAATTCTAAATTTGCCATTTCGAAAATAAATTATGAATGCAAAAATCAATTAACAGTTTATAAACTCGTTAACAATAAAGAATTGTATGAATAGATGCGTGACCTTGACCGCGTGAGTAGACTCGTCGACAGCTGACTATGAAGTATGTGCTATGTAGGTAGGTAGGTGCAGCGCTTGTATTACTTTATAACGTTAAACGGCGAGCGTAAATAAGCAAGCGCAGGCTAGAAAGCAATGCACAGCGTATAGCCTTAAGAAACAATCTGGTTATTGTATGTCTCAAACAAGAACAGTTAAAGGAAAAAAAAACGGTTTGAAAAGTAATTCAAATTTAAAATAATTCAAACTTTTAACAGAAATAGTTGGATAGGAAATAAGAGGGTAAAAATATTGGAACGATACCACAAATATCCCCATCCACAGATTACGCGAAGTAATGACTTGGCAGTTATATCTTCAGATTATTCGACCTGCAGTCTGGAAGGCTTCGGAATCCTCTTGATTTTAATTTTCTCGAAGCGATGACTTGATCGATATTGATAATCGAAGCACAGTGTCTAGAAGACTTCGAGAACAAAGACGGCAACTTCTACTGGCAATACGTCCGTTAGCTAGAAGAGACGACACACACCACTTTGAATTTTCAACGGTTATTAATTTATTTTTTCTGCCGGTGGCCGACGTTCTTGATCTTCTCAAATCGCGGCGTAATAGATGGCTGAAGGACCAATGTTAAATCCCTGATCTACGGGTAAATAATTTAAAGGCAATGGACTGTAAATTTGTACATATATTAATAAAAACAATTAAAGTGTGGTGCGCGTGCGATGCTTGCGGACTTCAGAGGTAATGCCCTCGGGAACAGCTGACGGATGGCACCTCCGCGCCGCGCCCCGCGGCTCCCCCGCAGTTGCCTTGCACAGCTGCCTTCTCCGAAGACAGCCGAGAGTAGCCGAAACTCGCGGACGGCGCACGAACAAAAAGTGAAGAAGAAAGAACACGGATCGAGCGGCAGACCATTTTGCAAAGCGAGTCTAGCGAATGGCTTGAACTTAGACGTTCTTTGTTGACAGCTTCGAACTTTGG